GTCAGCATACGTAACCTCCTCCTCTGGCAATATACCAAAATCTTTGCCTTCTGGCTAGTCCATGAGCACTTCCAAAATTCCTGGGCAATAGGTTTCCTATTCGAGTTTGTTGTGTGATCAGCACAACCCATTTACTCCACACAGCATCAGTTGCGTGATGTGTAGAGGGAACCTTCCCTTTGAACATCCAGCCCAGCACCAGCAGTCAGGGTGCTAATAGGAGCTGAGTTTCAGTACCAACCATTTTGGAGGCAGCTCAAACTCCATATGCTGCCAATATCTCCTTTTCAGTTGGTGTACGGTGACCCTCAGATCTTTGATAACCCTGAGTCCAAAACCCCAGGGGTCAACCTCAGGTCTCCCCGGGTGCTTTCTGCCAGAGACTCCAGGTAGGGCCATTCTCCCCAGCTGCAGTATAGAGCACATTTTCAACATCTTGTCCACCCCGGGCTGGCCCAAGAGCTACTGCATGAACAATCTCCCGTTTAATTTGTTCAAAGGCTTGTTGTTGCTCAGGGCCCCATTTAAAATTGTTCTTCTTCTGGGCCACTTGATAGAGAGGGCTTACAATCAGACTGTAATTTGGGATATGCATTCTCCAAAAACCCACAATGCCTAAGAAGGCCTGTGTTTCCTTTTTATTAGTTGGAGACATAGCTTCTATCTTGTTGATCACATCCATTGGGATTTGATGACATCCATCTTGCCATCTGCAGATCCCTTGACCTTACTTTATTTTATGGCAAATCCAGCTTTCAGAAGTATTTGGATTATTTTCTTCCCTTTCTCAAAAACTTCTGCTGCTGTGTTGCCCCGTATGATGATGTCATCAATGTACTGAGGTGTTCTGGAGCCTCACCCTTTTCCAGTGCAGTCTGGATTAGTCCATGGCAAATGGTGGGGCTGTGTTTCCACCCCTGGGGCAGTCGATTCCAGGTGTACTGGACACCCCTCCAAGTGAAAGCAAACTGCAGCCAGCACTCTGCTGCCAAAGGGATTGAGAAAAACACATTAGTGATACCAGTTGTGGTGTACCACCTGGCTGCCTTTGACTCCAATTCATATTGAAGTTCTAGCCTGCCTAGCAAGGCAGCACTCAGCGGTGGCGTGACTTCATTCAGGCCACGATAGTCAACTGCTAGTCTCCACTCTCCATTAGACTGTCGCACTGGCCATATGGGACTGTTAAAGGGTGAGCGAGTTTTGCTGATCGCTCCTTGGCTCTCCAGTCAACGAATCAACTTGTGGATGGGAATCAGGGAGTCTTGGTTCACATGCTATTGCTGCTGGTACACCATTGTGGTAGCAATTGGCACTTGTTGTTCGTCAGCCTGCAGCAACCCCACAACCGAAGGGTCCTCGGAGAGACGAGGCAGGGTACACAGCTGTTCAATTTCCTCTGCCTCCAAGGCAGCTATACCAAAAGCCCATCTATACCCCTTTGGGTCCTTAAAATACTCTCTCCTGAGACAGTCTATGCCAAAGATGCATGGAGCCTCTGGGCCAGTCACAATGGGGCATTTCTGCCACTCATTCCCAGTTAGACTCACTTCAGCCTCCAATACAGTTGGCTGTGGGACCCCCCCGTCACACCAGAAATACAGATGGGTTCTGCCCCTTTATAACTTGATGGCATTAGGGTACACTGTGCACTGGTGTCTCCTAGAGCCTTATACTCCTGTAGGTCTAATGTGCCAGGCCATCAAATCCACACAGCCCAACAAAGCCAGTTGTCCCTTTCCTCCACCTGGCTGGAGATAAGGCCCCTCTAATCCCAGTCAGAGTATTCATTACTCACTTTTTGTAAAAACAAATTAGAAGTCCCTTCAAGAGGATCAGACATAAGATCAGCCCTTCTACTCTGCCTGCAGAATTGCCTGCTGGAAACTGGAGCAGCATTTTTCCTGAAAGAATCCCCTTTTGTGGTTGCTTTTCCTCGCAACTCATGTACCCGTGCATCTAACGTCAAGGTAGGTTTTCCATCCCACTTCATGTCCTCTCCATGGTCACACAGGTAAAACCACAGGGTACCCCATGGTGTGTACTCTCTATATTCTCTCTCTTGAGCAGAGGAACACTCACTCCTAATAGCTGAGATACAGGTGGGGAGTAGGACTTTTTGATCAGTTTCATCAGTTTTTGGACATTTCGGACAGTTTTTCCACAGCCAGGATGCAGGCTTGTAGGGAGGAAGAGAGATTTTCTTTGTATTGCCAGAGACGGCGACCCATTTCATCCACTGTCAGTGTCCCTTTGTCCTTCCAGCTCAGTACTGCCAATGGGTTGGCATACAATGACAGTGTGCTCCGTACAAACTTCCGCCACATGGGTCACATGCATTAGATCTGTGAGTAGTTTTGTGTTGTCCAGGTCGTAATAAATCATCCCTAGCATGGCTAATCCCCTCAGATAGTGGATACCTCTCTCCACGGTAGTCCATTTGCCTGGTTCACATATAACATCTTCCTTGAAGGGGTACCTTTACTTCACGCCTGACAGAAGTTGCCTCCAGAGCTTGAGGGCTTGTGTCCCTTTTCCAATTGCCTTGTCAACGCCCCCTTCCCTAGAAAATGATCCCGACTGCTTGGCTTCTCTACCCTCTAATTCCAGGCTACTGGCCCCACTGTCCCAGCATAGGAGCAGCCAGGTGACAATGTGCTCACCTGGACAACAGCTGAAATCTTTTTGCATATCCCACAGCTCACTCAGGGACAGGGATCGGGTGATTACCTCTGGTTCTGCCTCTTCCTCCTGTTCTCATGAGGACCCTGGTTCATCTTCATCTCTTACTAAGTGAACTGATTTTTTTGTATATTTCTTCTTCTGTATAGGGGCAACTGATACTGGCAGAGGTTGGTTCTTGGTTCACCTGTAGTGCCTGTCACGGGCTATGGAGTAGCTGCAGTGCCTGTAGGTGGGATTGGAGTAGCTGCAGTGCTTATCACCGGGGCTGGAGTAGCTGCAGTGCCTTTCAGTTCGTTTTCCCTCCCTTCTCTCTGAGGGTGCTCCATAATATTGAGCAGTGTTTGGTAGATACTGGGCAGGACCCAGCAAAGTGTGGTAAGTTGTGTGTCTTTGGAATAGCCACAGCATTTTCCTGTCAAATATTCTATCACTTTATCAGGGTCCTGCAGTTGTTTGGGAGCAAAGTTCCAAACCATTGGAGGTGAGAAGTTCACCAGATACCTGCCCATATTTTCCCACATGCCATGTCACCCATGATTATCTAGCCTCGGGGCAGATCTCTGGGTGATATTCTTAAATAGTTGTCTAACCTTAAACAAGACCTGGAACACATTTAGGAGATACAGAAATAGGAACATGCTGGCTTGAACATCCCAAGGATATTAAAAATTCTCAAGAGCTATTATAATTTGCCTGGAGGAGAAGAGGAAGGTGAAGAAATGTGTCTCCCCCATGGATTGGCTCTCCGAGGAGAAAAGGTAAAAGGTGTAATTATTAATAGTTTGTGATAGATGGCTCCCGAAGAACGGAGATGACAGCAATGCTGAGTGCAAATACCAGATCAGTTTCACAACCAGCAATTCTATCATAGCATAAGCCAGTGTTACAAAGTACAACAACATCATAACTTTAGCCCAGTTCCCATGGGTGATAAATGGCACAACAGTGAGCATACACTGCAAGTGAGGTATTACAAAACGCAGCTTCAAGAAGCACACCAACTTTGAGAGCAAATAAATTGACATTGTGACCAGCAACTATTGAACTAATATAATGAATGCCTATAACACATTTGTTCTAACGTGTTCCAGTCAGATTTGTCATTATCTCAACCCGTTGGGCCCAATGTTGGGCACCAAAAAGGACTGTCATGGTTTAACCCCAGGACGCAAATAAGCACCACTCAGCCACTTGCTCACTCCCCCCCACCCAGTGGGATGGGGGGGAGAATCGAAAAAAAGTAAAACTCATGGGTTGAGACAAAGACAGTTTAATAGGACAGAAAGGAAGAAAATAACAATAATGATGATAAAAATAATAATAATAATAAAATAACAATACTCTCCCAACTTCTTGTGCCCCTCCAACCTTCTTGCCAGCCATGCATGAGAAGCTGAAAAATCCTTGACTTAGTACAAACACTACTTAACAACAACTGAAAACATCAGTGTGTTATCAACATTCTTTTCATACTAAATCCAAAACAAAACACTATACCAGCTACTACAAAGAAAATTAACTCTATCCCAGCTGAAACCAGGACAATATTATAAGACAGATGTTGGATTTTTGTCAACCTCACAAATGCCAGCTAAGGACAGGTAAGAGAATCTGTTGGATTATTTTCACTTTCTGTCTTCCTAGAGTGAGATACTGGTTACAGAAAAACATTCTTAACTCCAGTCCCTGATAGGAGATAGTAAATAAAGATGCTGAGCCACGTCCTTTACGCTTTGATGTTCAGTCTGGTTTACCATATTCTTTTACCAGTTTTAGGGCAATGGTATATTATTTGTGGGCATGAGACAAGCTTTTAACCCATGATTTGAAAAAAAAGTACATAAACTGATATGCATGTGTAGGCAAAACCCGGATCTTTTCTGTTAGAGATGGTTCTCAAGAGATAAGGAAAAAGACTTGTATAGGTGATGAAGTGTGATAATATGAAAGGCTGCAAGACAGTTGCTTAAGAAACAAGAACAACAAAGGAATAAACTACTGCAGGCATCACCAGAGCTGGAATGACATTGTACTGTGTACTATGTTTCCATGGCAACTAGCCATAGGAAGATGAATGTCTCATATTCACTGTGCTCTGCAGTACATGTCTCTATAAATCAAACTTGCATAAAAGAGCATAAGATTTCTTCCGTGGGGTAGCTCTGAAAAACAGGTTATTTTCTCATTACTAGATAATTACATGAAAGAAATACGAGACAATTAGGTCGTTTTTCGTATGGAAAGTACCAATACATAGAAAAGTACTAATATACCTCTAGTGTGTGATCCTATCAATCTAAAGGCACAGCAGCATAAAATGCAGATCATGAATGCCTTCTTTTCTTCCTCAAGATCTGATCTATGCTTGCTAGCTTTAAAAACTGTATGAGACTTTTCTGTCCACTTTTGGTTTGTAAGACATTTTTCATCATTTACAGGTTCACTCACATTCACATGTGATTGGTTTTCAGCTTACTTCTGTCACTATTTCCATTATCATGGTCTAAGGATTTGGCATACAAATAACCTATTTTTTCTAAACAAATGGTACAGCTAAGATAAATACATTTTCAGCAGCAGTAATTAATAATATTGTATAATTCGAATTATGTTCATATTCACAACAAAAAAGCAAAACAATACTTGAAATATTTTTTTAAGAATTTGAATCCAGCTTTAAAAGACATGTTCACTTACAGACAGCCATTTATCAGAAATTATTATTGCAAAGGACTTGTCACATTTCATATCCATGTAGCTACATGCAGAGCAGCAGCGTTATTATGAAGAAATTCTTGTGTGTGGTACCCATTACAAAAAGCCCCATCATGAAAGAACATATCATCATACCATTTACCTTAGCAGGTACTTCTGCAACTCCTGTGTCAAGAATGTTGAGTTTTTATGGCACAATGGCATTCTAATCAGGTGCACACCAGGTGCATGATAAGCACTTGAGCATTTTGTTCAGTATAACTGCAATTATTAGCTCAGAAACAATAATTGTTATGCTACTTGTTCAGGCAAGATTATGGTCAGTTAATACAATCAAATATGAACTAAAACCCCACATTTTGCAAACTTTAGCAACAGCTAAGTGCAGTATATTACTGGCATCTGTAAGAAAACAATCCCTCAGGAGAAAGAACATCTACTTTAAGTATTCTTTTATCAGTATGAGATGAAAATATATTTATGTTTGTTCCTATTCCCATGGAATTAAAAAAAACCAAAAAACAACAACAAACCACCCACATGTTATACTTAGAAACACTACTGAATGAGGTGTCTTTTTTCTTTCATAAAATAGAGCATTTAACACCACCACTCCATCCTGAAGCTGTATTACCAATTCAAATTAATTCACTACATCTTTACACATTTATAAAAGAATATACAATGTTAAAGTAAAGCAGAAATATTAACTGTATGTTTCATAGCCTTGTATTCCAGTAAATACAGTAAGCCATTGCTAATAATAGGCCACAAACTCTATACTGAGTTGCAAGGTCTGAGGACTGAGGCTTGTCAGACTGTCTGAACTTGCTTGACCTGCATGGAGATTTTACTCGCTTTATCTGTAACAGCAGTTCTTTTAAGGACCAGATGGCTATGTCTAATTTGTTCTTCTTACCTTTATACAGTATAAACATAGCTTTATGCAGACAGTAGTAACAAAAATGTCTTCTATGTAAAATGAAATATTTATGAGTTTAAGATAATGATGTAGAGAAATGTAGACCTGGCATGATAGCAGAGCCCTTCAGATGTAAAGACATAGCATATAGAGTAGAGGAGCACAGGCATGGGATGTTAAGATACAGGGCACAGGCTAACACTGGAGGATCAAGACTATAAACAGCTCACCAACGGTCAGTTAAAGAAATGCAGACACAGGAGCTGGAAAAAAGTGGGTTTATGGATGACAAAGAGAGCAAAGAACAAGTATCTGAAATATGTAATGTATGCCACATATAGTGAATTTGGATGCAATGTGGGCTTGCAGACCAATGAAGAAAGAGGAAGGTGTAAACTGTGTTGGAAAACATACAAAAATGACCCAGAGTGGATGCTAGAGTGACAGACAAGAAAACATCAGTATGAGTATCATACTCCCTCTGGTGAAGAAGTCAGGATAATGGCAATTCACCCTGCCATGCCTGCCTTGAACCTGCCAACCTCAGGACTGAGAGGGACAGTGGAAGACTGAGAATAACAGAAAAAGGGGTAGATGTTAGGAGGTGTGTAACACAGTTAACTGCATTAAGACTTTATGTAGCATAGTATTCTTTATTTTATTTTTCTTTTTTTTTTCAATTATTAAATCTGTACTAATAATAATTCTTTGACTAGACTGCTAAGATTTCAGTTACAGTAAAAATAAATATTGGCTTTATGTATCAGGTGTGTGTTCTTTGTAGCCATAAAAAGATTTTGAGCATAAGAGTTGTTTACAGGTAGGTTAGAAAAATAATCTGTTATTCTTTAGCTTCTTACTGTATTATATTAAACATTTTAAGACTATTTTCATATGAATAAAATATATGAATGATAAATACAACAATTCTATTTTCAAGCCTCAAGTTTGTTAAAATCCATTCAACATGTATGGATGCCTCATTATGCACCTACAAATCAAGTCTACTTGGTCTGAAAGCTAAATTACTTTGGTGTGGCCCTTCATTCTTAACATAAATCAATTACTGATATTCCTCCTTCCTTGTGTTCTTGTTTTCATTTTTATATCTAAGAATATGTTGAGAATTACACTCTATAGCAGAAAATAATTCCTTGCTCTGTATGGTAAGCAGAGAAGCTAAGTATTATGTATGCGCCTTCTTTTCCTACTTCCCGTTCCTTCCCTTTTAGCCTTTGAGACACTAACCACAGACTTAGCTTATTCTGTAACATTTTACTTCATTTAAAGTGTAAGAAAATAATACATGCAACCCTCCAAATTAAAGGAACCCACCAATACCTGACATGGTTTGGAGATAGTATTTCCACAAACATGAAATACCCTTTTCATATAATAATTTCCTGAAGCTCTGAAATTAGCTTTTCTAATTAAGCTTTTTTTTTTTTCCTTCTCTTAATCTGTCACTATGTTTCACTTAAGATTTGGAATGCTCTTTTGAGTTGAATCTCCCAGTCTTCCCCACTGATTGTACTATGGTTAAAATCACAGTGATCACAGTATACAAACTGCATTGCTTCCAGATGGAATTAAACCGAAAGACGTGTTCCCGGCATGCACCCAAAGCACTCCAACTTCCAGTAATTAATCAGCCTGTTGGCCAGACTAGAATTAGTCCAAGTAACTCCCTCAATGAATGTCATACAGATACCGGATCCCCAGCATGAACTTCTTGCTCTACAGACCTGATTCTTATGTGCTGTATTAATTGCTAATATATATATAATTTTAGAACTCATACTTGATTAGAGTCATCACACCTAAAGATGCTAAACATCTTACATGTATATGTATTGTAAATTATTTTATTTAACATGAAAGAAATATTTTAAAACTATGTTCAGTCCCAAAACTTGATTTTGGTCTCTGTACTGAAAAGAAGGAAGAACAAGAAACATATCTGCAAATATAAAATTATATATACTGTTTGTTTTAGCAATCCATTGTCATATGGATTTTGTGCCACAAATACATTGAAACTTCTGACAAATATCTATGTCCAAAATATTTCCTCTGGTTTTCTTTTCATACAGTTTTAATCCAATTGTACAGCTCAATTTAGGACAAAAGTCTTAGCTCTGTTTCCCTACATAAAGTTCAACATACATACCAAGAGTTAAAAGAAATATCCCCAAAGGATGTGTACCTAAAAGAGGATTTAGGACTCTGATTTCAAATTACAATTCTGAAGAGTTCCATGCAGATTTGGCCTGTTCAGTCCTAAAGAAATCTGTATTACACAATACTACTGTGCAATTTCTTTCAAGAGTAGCCAAAGAAACATGCAAACCTCTTCCTGAAAAAGAAGTTTTTCTACGTTTCTCTTCAGGTTCCATACCTTGTTCATAAATATGCAATCATAAGTTTCATTTGCTGGACTCTAATATGCTAGCATTAGAGCCACTGTTGATCGTGACTTGTCTTCTTTACTAGATACATAGTATACCATAACATTTGGTTGAACTTTACTTCATTTATTAAATTCATCATTATTATCATTTAGATTTGAAATTGGGGAGTTTCATTGACAGAAAGATGGGTCAAAAGTTTTCAGAACTATTTTACAATATGAAGCTAAGTCTGAATTTATTTGACAATTTTTCAAATGAGAAAGATAATGAAAAAATATATGTAAAAATGCAAAATAAAACATATGCTTTTCTGACCTAAAAAGCATTCATATTCAAGAAAACCATTTTAATCACTGTACAGGAAAATTGAACATTAGGCCCTTCATAGAAGTCCTTGAAATAAAATATTTTGAAAGGATAATACCTGAAGATATTCTACCTACATTTTCCTATTCATTTCTTGAAAATATACCAAAAAGTGATAGTAAAATCACTTGGACATTAAGAAAAATATACCACATAACTTTTCAAACCTTCTTAAAATACTTACTCTCCCCAAAATATATTATGTCTTTAGTGCAAAACCACAAGATTATCATCTAAGAAGACATTAGTCACTCTATACTTTGATTTTGTTATTGTATGCCAGTGGCTTGAAAGATGTATGGAGCAATTCCTGTTCTGCTATAATGCTTTGTACTATGACTCCAGATAACTGCAAAAAAGAAAAACAAACCAAAATCCAACACCACCTTTTAAAGATGGTGCTCAGCAAGCTATCTGATGCCATGTCTTCAAAAGTGAAGGCTTTTCTCAATGACTGAGTTACTTCCAAACAAAACATTCACATGACAAGAAGGAAGTTTTAGGCTTTGCAATGCATTGTTTTCCAAAATATTTTTTAAATAATGTTTACTGGCAACTGCAGAGGTAAGACCAATTTTTTATGATCTGCAAATTACTCTCAAAATTTTATCCTTTCACTTCTGAGTCAATCTCACCTTGCAAGAAAACTCACCACTACTGCCTTGCATTATACACTACGGTTTAACTGAATTTTTGAAGAGACAGCTGTTGAATGTAGATTTCCTGATTACAGGAGGGAAATGTAAAAGTAAATAATTTTAGGCTTCTTAAGAAACAGTACAGGCAACAAATTACTTTCTGTATCTGGTAATATTTATTATTTTAATTATAGTTATTGTTTTTATTATTTCTAGTTATACAATTTATATTATTTACACATATTATTTATATTTATAATATTTATTATTAAAAGCACTGAAACACTAATGTGCTGAAGCTTATATCTTCAGCTGCATGATAGAATCTAATAATTTCAATTAACTGAAACATACACAACAAAAAGCCTGCTCTGTTAATCTTACGTGAAGGCTTCGACTATGACTTTTTTCAGATAACTTAGGAGAAACAGAATTGAAGGCTCTCTGGAAGTCTTCAAAAGTCAAAAATCCTCTATCTTTTAAATCAAGAATAGACAAGAGAAAAATAATATAAATTAAGGGGGGGGAGGTTAAACTACTTAATACTATTATGTTTGCATGTGAGCTAATCGATTCATATTTCTGAAACGATTATACACTCTTTAAGTTACTGTATTTGCAAAATATTTTAGGATGGCTACATTACATAGATGAACAGTCTAAGAAGGATTTTATACTGACAATTCCTTTTTGCCACTGTGAACCCTGTTCAACAGTACCGTGCCTACAACATCTACAACTCTCTTATTGAAGTTCTAGTTTTAAAAGTAGACATCTTGAATTGAAAATTTCAGATCTGTAAAACTTTGCAAATATAAACTCTAAAATACGCAAAATTACATTTCAAATCTATAATTTTCATTGACATCTCAATCTGAGCATTGTGTTTCAAAAATTTTTTTCATAAAAAATTTCTCCTTCAGTTTAATCCTGCTGCAGACTTAAGATCCTGAATACATTATACCAGAGTAATATCAACTGATCAGTCACTTAGGTTATGAACTCACTTCCAGACCCAACTGGAAAATAAAGCATCTCAAACAGGGCTATCACAGATTGTGTGCAGCAGATAGCAAGACAAACAAAACCATAGTGCTTGAAACAGTTAAGTCCTTTGAAATAATTCACTAAAAATAACACTTCAAAAGCTACTTTCAGTTCATGGCAAAAAGCTGAGTGGATGCTTATCTGATCATCCCAACATCATCTGATCTGCCATATGTTTCACTCTCCCTCTTTTCAAGGACTATCGACCTATCTCAGGTCAGGAGAAAAAGGCAAAGGATCATCTGAATGTCTACCGGCTTGGAGGCTACTGATGAAGTTTCCTTTTTTTCAGTTTGGCGATGGGAGATCCTCTGCTATCTAACAGGAATGAAAAAGAATCACCACATCTACTTCCCGACAGGAACAAGAAAAAATCCTTGGTGCTTTGGTTTCCCTTCCTTGGTCTATCATGAGAAATAAAAAAGATCTATAGCCATCACCAGGGACAGAAATCTGTAAAATATATGACATAAATAAGTGAGTGGAGATATATGAGTATGAGTAACATGGAAATAATGAGAGGCAGTAACAGCAAGCAGGTAGGGTGAATGGCTAGAGATTTCTTCTAACAGCTGGAGGAGCTCATAGTACATCAGACAATACAGTGCTACCACCTAGAACTCCACAGCCTACTGACCCTGACTTTACAGTAATATCATCACGATCTTTGTTAGTCTGGTACTGTTTTACTTAACTTTGCAGCATCCAGGACATCTCAACTTCTTTTCATTTCCTTCAGGTGTTCTGTTTTCCTTAATTGTTTTAGAATTAAATTAATACTCCAAATATTTAGGAGAAGAACTTACCTTGCGCAGCAAAAGCTGAAAACATTTTCCTTGTTTCATTACTGTATAACTGTGCAGCCTTCATTGCACTCATGAGATTTAAAAACTTTCCAAATATTAGACTTAGAAAAATGTAAAATATAAATAAATCTCCCTGCAAAAAAGTCAGTTTTTTCTCGTTAAAAATATGTATGACTGTGGTATACTCATTATGAATAATTTTAATTATATAAACAAACACAAAAATAAAACTGAAATAACAGCCTTCAAAGTTAGATCATGATCATGCAAATATTTCATATTGTTTAAATTTTCTCACATATTTTCTACACTTGAGTATAATAATTCTGTTTACTTCTACTTTTTTCTTCTTGTTACCTGCCATCTCATGGTTCTTTGCACTGGAGAGAAACATGGACTTTTCTAAGTCAATAGCACTTGCATGCCATGGATAAAGATCCATGCTGCTTAAACAATTTATCTGGCATCATTCCCAGCAGTGAGAGAACTCTGAAATAATCTATAACCTCAGATAGAGATTCTTATGAAATTCATAATAAAATTGAATGTAAAACTGAATGGGTTATTCCTCCTGTATACTATATGAAAGTCTTTATCTTATCCTTTTAATGAATCAAAAAAGAAAGAAATTGAAATGCAAACCTAGTTTGTAAGTTCTTAATTGACCATTTCTTCTAAAATCAAAAGTAAACCATAAAAATTTAGAAACAAAAATCTGCCCCCCAAAACTTCAGGCCTCCCCATGAAACATGCAAAAATCTTGACATAAAAACTCTGCAGATACATTTTTTTTTGACAAAAAAAATCCCACTTCAGCTCAATATTTAAACACAGACAAATATTCTTTTCTCATAACTTTCTAATATATGCTTTATGCTCATTGTAAACAATTTAGTTTTCTTTAGAAGGCAACATGACTGTATCCTGCAGGAATTTTTCTTTATCAAATAACATAACAAAAGCTCTGCACTTCTCTTTCTTTGGTTCATTCATATCCTATTCTTTCTGCAGTTGTTCAAAAGCACAACTCCTTCAGCTCCACCTGCTGTCTCAATTCAAATCTTAAACTCCAAGCGTATGGATTTCCAGTGTTTCTTTCCTTATTTCTCCTTGAAAAATCGTATATTAAGAACTGTTACAGTCTCAGTTTCCAGGATTACAAAGTCTTGCTGCTTTCAACTGCTAGGTTCTATACATGCACAATTTCTTTAATAACAGAGGTTGCCTAAACATACTGAACTTGCCTGCGTGAAAGGCTTTCCATTCAATTGGATAACTATGGAAGTGAAACCATAAAAAGCAATACAAGCTTTCCATCCATTTATTTTTTTCTCTTTCAGAGTAACATACGAGCCCAGAAAATTATAGTATACAATTTTCCTTTTATAGAATGACTCCTATAATAGAGTGCCGCCTATTCATTGATCTTGAGAGTTGGCAATTTATGTGCGACTAGAACAGGCTGTAAAGCTATCTCAACAGACAAAAAGGTCATCTTAAAAAAATATCAAAGCCAATTAGGTATTAACAAATCTATAATCTATCTTTATATCTTAGTTCACTATTTTTCTTTCAGACATTCATGTGGTTGTTCTCTTGAAAAAAATCTGTGTAAAAGCTTTATTCTGTATTTGCTGCCTAAATTAAAGATTTACAAGTAAGGGTGTGGTTTGATGAACATGGTTTCTGGCATCAATGCTAGAATAAACAGAACCAGCCTCCACAATGCCCTTCAAACGTATTGATACAAATACTTGTGGGGCCATGTGGCAAGAGGGATGAGGGAACTTATTGATAAAAGTAACCACATTTTTTTGCCACTTCATTTTTTATATGAATCATTTCCCCAATAAGACTTGCCACATGACCCCACAAACAGATGGATGGGCGTAACTGATAAGGTCAAGGATAAGAAAAAACCAAGCAGAACTATATAAATGGGAGGGTTGTTACAGAAAGAGGTATTTTTTGAACTGTGGTGTAAGACTCCAGTATTTGCCCAAGTAAATAGTGGAACAGTATCAAAGAACTGATAGAAACTTCTTCATCACTTAACAACTTGAACCCTAAGAATTACTAATTACTTTTCTCTATCACTAATCTATATAATGTTACTATTAAGAAATGCAACTTAGAGAAGCAAGAGTAAGTTCAAGCTAAATGTAACATACAGGCACAAAAATATTACAAAACTAAATTAAATCATATGATTCTCTTTAATAGCCATGGTCAGCTCATTTATAGAATCATAGAATAGAATCATTTAGGTTGGAAAAGACCCTTAAGATCATCAACTCCAACCGTTAACCTA